TGACCTCAAGCGACCCGCCCGCCTCGGCCTCCCAAAGTGCTGGGATTACAGGCGTGAGCCACCGTGCCCGGCCTATACAATTAATTTTTATAATTTTTAGATTAGAACCCATAATCTACTGTTCTGACAGCTGTTGAACAAAGTTGTTTGTTACTAATTATAATACCTAATTATTCCTCAACTACAGCTGTTTACCAAGGCATTTCACACGTTAACTCATTTGGTCCTCATGTTAGCCCTGTGAGTGGTATTCCCATTAGCCACAGGAAGCAAGCAAAGATAATACTACGCTGATATGTAGAACCAGCACCATAGTAGTTGTTTATGACGAGTGTCCAGTAGAATTAGTCAGGTTTCTCATCTGTCTGGGTGGTGCCCATATCTTACCAGTTAAATATTTTAACTGTCACCCTAAAGCAAGTTTATATAATGTTTTAAATTACTTGCTCCAAGATACATGGTTAGTAAGTGACGAAGATAGTAAATGACTAGAACCCCAAGCCTTCCAATCCCTGTGTGGTCCTCTCTCCAGCAGATCTTTTATTAATAAAAATGGCAAGTACTCCTTCTATCTAAAATATTGATACATTTAAATTTTTACAATATTTATCTTTCTCTAGTAAAATAACAAAAAATTAATACACAAAACAAGAGAGATTCCACCCCCACCACCACCTCAAATTAAGATATGTTCAGACTGGACAACATAGCAAGACCCTTTCTCTAAAAAATTTTTTTTTTTTTTTTTTGTTGAGACAGAGTCTCGCTTTGTCGCCCAGACTGGAGTGCAGTGGCCGAATCTCAGCTCACTGCAAGCTCCGCCTCCCGGGTTCACGCCATTCTCCTGCCTCAGCCTCACGAGTAGCTGGGACTACAGATGCCCGCCACCTCGCCCAGCTAGGTTTTTGTATTTTTTAGTAGAGACGGGGTTTCACCGTGTTAGCCAGGATGGTCTCTATCTCCTGACCTCGTGATCCGCCCGTCTCGGCCTCCCAAAGTGCTGGGATTACAGGCTTGAACCACAGCGCCCGGCCAATTTTTTTTGTTTTAATTAGCCAGGTGTGGTGGCATGCATCTGTAATCCCAGCTCCTTGGTAGGTTGGGATGGGAGGATTGCTTGAGCCTGGGAGGTTGAGGCTGCAGTGAGCTATGGTCACCACTACACCCTAGCCTGGGTAACAGAGGGAGACCTTATCTTAAAAATAAAAAGTATGCTGGACACAGTGGCTCACGCCTGTAATCCCAGCACTGTGGGCATCCGAGGCAGATGGATGACAAGGTCAGGAGTTCAAGACCAGCCTGACCAACATGACCTATCTCTACTAAAAATACAAAAATTAGCTGGGCATGGTGGCGTGTGCCTGTAATACCAGCTACTCAGGAGGCAGAAGTAAGAGAATTGCTTGAGTCCGGGAGGCGGAAGTTGTAGCAAGCTGACATTGCGCCATTGCACTCCAGCCTGGGCGACAGAGTAAGACGCTGTCTCAAAAATAAATAAATAAATAAATAATAAAAATAAATAAATAAGTGCATGGTGCATGTAAGTGTTTGCAATTATTATTATCATAGGAAGTATCCTGTTGTTACCTCAGATACCCAAATGCTATTGGATTAAGGGATGTGAAATTATTATGTAATATTAATAATAAAAAACATGATAGCCACTATTTAGAGAAAACTGATGTTTAATATTTCTGTGACATCAATTTGCCACTAAAACCCTTGATCTTTTTCTAATAATAGATGTTAATTTGAGTTTAATGCATGGCTTTGAACATCTTAAGTTTATGAACTGGTACCTAAAATATCAAACTGTCCTGCTTTTGAAAAATCACTTTTATCACTATTTAAATCTCTACACAGATTCACCAGGCATGTAAACTCATCTGCAGAAAATGTAAACGTCATGTGACAGATCTAACAGGGCAAGTGGTACAGGAGGGAACCAGGCGCTACAGACTGTGTAATGAGTGTCTTGCAGAATTTGGCATAGACAGCCTCCCCATTGACTTGGAAGCTGAACAACATCTTATGTCCCCATCAGATGGAGATAAGGATTCCAGATGGCACTTGAGTGAAGATGAGAATAGATCCTATGTGGAGATTGTAGAAGATGGGTCTGCTGATCTGGTCATCCAACAGGTTGATGATAGTGAAGAAGAAGAAGAAAAAGAAATTAAGCCCAACATTAGGTAGCTGCAATGTGAACCAACAGAGCTGGCATGTCTGCAATTTACAATGACTTCCTGTATCTCTCTCTTTCTGTGGTCAGAGTCTAGTTAACAAATTTATCATACTGACTTTAAAGAAATGATCTGATATAACTTGCATGCTTTCTGAACAGGCCATTGTATCCATTCTGAACTTTGTTGCCCTAAAATGTGTTGCTGCACTGGAAAGAAAGAACTAGCTTGAGTTGGCATGATGGATGAACAATTATCCTCTTACTTTCATTACAATCCTCTTACTTTATTACAGAGATACCCTTTTTCTTTTAATATTGGAAGATCTACTTAGCAAACTTTTTTCAAAGAAAATACTTTAAATAAATTCACCACATCCAAACTTTATGTAAGACAATTTCAAGGTGTTTCAAAAACACATATACAACCGATGTTTAATTTCACAGGAAACCAGTTAAGAGCACATTTAAGGATCTGGCAACCCACCTGACTAGACAAATTAGTCTTTGTATTAATTTGAGATCTGAAACAATCTGTCATTACTCTGATATCCTGAACGTTTAAGGATTATGGACGAAGACTAAAATGTTTGAAATCATTCATATTTGACATTTTTATCATTAGGTTAAAATTACTCTCAGTATTGTTAAAAACAAAACAAACAAACAATAAAAAAAATGAAAGTAGAGGCTGACCAAAGATTAAATGCAGATATTTTCTTAAAGCAGGAAACTAATGTTGCCTAAAAGTCAAGGCAGTTTGTGAAGATGATCTGTCAATATGGTCATCCATCTCTCTAAAGAAAAACAGGCCAGGCGCGGTGGCTCACGCCTATAATCCCAATACTTTGAGAGGCCAATGCAGGCGTATCACCTGAGGTCAGGAGTTTAAAACCAGCCCGGCCAACATGGTGAAACCTCATCTCTACTAAAAAATATAAAATTAGCCGGGCATGGTGGCGCATGCCTATAATCCCAGCTACTCGGGAGGCTGAGGCAGGAGAATTACTTGAACCTGGGAGGCAGAGGTTGCAGTGAGCCAAGATCATACCATTGCACTCCAGCCTGGGCAACAAGAGAGAAACCCAAAAAAAAAAAAAAAAAGGAAAATAAACTAGGAGGTTCTTACCATATTTGAGTGATTTCTAATATTATGTAGTGCTATATTATTTATACAGTACTCTCTCACATATTTTCTCGATCAGTGAGGTGGATACTATCTCCGATTTACAAATGAGGAAATTAAGGTCAGAAAGTTTGAGAGAGAAAGCTGATGACTGGACAGGGTCTGATTTTAAACAATCCTCTTTCAACATTCTCTCCCTGTATGTCTCCTGAAATGGCAAAGAATAGAAGTCAAACCTCACCAGTTGGCAGTAATTATAAAAATAAGCCAATCAGAATTAGAAAGTATGAAAGGAGGAATTGAATCATTTTCAACAACATATAATATCTTGATCTAGAGATTTTCAAATAGTGCTAAGTAATGTCCCTACAGTACCTATTGGTATGTTTTTATGTCAAGTTATTTATATGTAAATTTAAAGTATAAAACTATTTGAACAAATTATTCACTTAAGTACATTGAACATATTTGCTTCTCTTGTTTATATATTTTCAAGACAAATTTTCTCCTAATATACAAATTTTAAACTTCTCCCCTTTGGGCTGGGCACGGTGGCTCACACCTGTAATCCCAGCACTTTGGGAGGCTGAGGCGGGTGGATCTCCTGAGGTTGGGAGTTCGAGACCAGGCTGACCAACATGGAGAACATGGAGAAACCCCATCTCTACTAAAAATACAAAATTAGCCCGACGTGGTGGTGCATGCCTGTAATCCCAGCTACTCGGAAGGCTGAGGCAGGAGAATCACTTGAACCCAGGAGGCAGAGGTTGCAGTGGACTGAGATTGTGCCATTGCACTCCAGCCTGGGCAGCAAGCGTGAAACTCTGTCACAAAAAACAAAAAACAGAAAATAAAAAAACTAAAAAACTTCTCCCCTGCCTGAATTATGAAACATTCCAAAATTACAGCTAAATTAGAGAAGCATTGTTTTAGTTCTAAAGGTAAAATCTAAATATCTGAAGTAAAGAGCTGAACTTCATAAAGGTCTCTTCTGCAAGTTATCACAGTGGAGCTTGATAGAATTTCATTGTATATGGAGAGGTACCATCTATTTTACTGTATTTTTAAATGCCATTTTTAAATGACATACCTCAAAATGATACTTTTTATGTTATTATTTTCTCTTGTTCTTTCATTAATTATTGTCCTTGATACCGATTTCTAGGCTAAATTGGTTACTTTCTTTTAAAAAATTTAAAAATAGATGAATAACCAGTTGTTTCATGGTACTTAATTGAGACTTTTTCAAGATTCCCTTGATGGCACATTTCCAGTTGCTTCAAGACTGGATGATAGGCATTGAGTTCTCTGTTCTCCCAACATGGCTGTTCCTAAATCAGGATTCTGTTTTTTTTTGAGACGGAGTCTCGCTCTGTTGCCCAAGCTGGAGTGCAATGGCGTGATCTCGGCTCACCTCAACCTCCGCCTCCCGGGTTCAAATGATTCTCCTGCCTCAGCCTCCTGAGTAGCTGGAACTACAGGCACGTGCCACCATGTCAGGCTAATTTTTGTGTTTTTAGTAGAGATGGGGTTTCACTATGTTGGCCAGGCTGCTCTCGAACTCCTGACCTCGTGATCCACCCCCGACCCAGCCTCCCAAAGTGCTGGGATTACAGGCGTGAGCCACCATGCCCAAATCAGGATTCTTAACAATTAAAAGTGTATCTGAATGAGGAAGGAAATGCTTTTCATTCTCTAGTCTTACCAGAGTAATACTGATACCTTTTGAAATTAAAACCTGATTCTTTAGTTGTTGGAGCCAATAGGAAAAATGGCTGATTTGAACTTCATTCATATCAATGAAGTAGTGCTTGCATGTGTATACTCTAATGCACTTTATTTAGTCTATGATCTAAATGTCCTTTTATGCTATTATCTTCTGCATGCAAACTTTACATACATCAGCATGAATATCAGCAACATTCACTGAACACACTGCCACCAGCACTTGTAATTGCCTTTTCAGAAATAATGCTTTCTCATAATTGTTTATAACAAGCATCAAACGATCCCCACAAAACAACGATCGAGTTCACCAAACTAGACAAGAGAATCTGTTGTATCATTTTAACATCATAAAAGAACATTTAAGACATGTCTGTAAGTTGTAAATAATGCCTCCAGTTATCATATCATATATATCTAAGACATTAGAGACCGGTTATTTTCTACAGTGAAACTGTCTATTGATGATTTGAGAAAATTGAATTCTTTGGTTTTTACATGTGGGCAAATGTTACATAGGGGTATAATCTGTTTAAATAAGCTTTATTTATGCCAAGGATTTTTTTTTTTTTAATATCAAGACTTGGTTAGACCAAAGTTTGCTCTTGCAGGAATGCCATTTATCAACTTCTGAATGCCCTTCTAACTCCATTACTCTCAAGAGTGTCTGGGTATAGGATGAAGCATTACAAAAAGAAAGCACCACTGCAGTCATGCCTAGTGTCTGGAAGAAACAAAATGGACTAGATCTGCAGTTTAAAGTAATTTTTTAACCTGAGAAACTCTTCAAATGAATTATTTCCTAGAGATGCTCAAATTTAAGGGATGAACTCTAAAATCAGAGCTGCTCTGGTTAAAGCCCCCCACAAACCTTTCCCCAGACACCTCTGCAGAACTCAGGTGCACAACGTTGAAAACCATGGAATTAGACAACTTCTTGAATTCCCTTTGAGTGCTGCAGCCTCATTTTGTAACTCCTATTACTCACTGTGCTTATAAGCAGGTAACCATATGGTCTCTTAGTGAAGCAAATCACATCCTTAGCACATGATGTTCCTTCTATGGGTATCAGATCTTAAGACTTTTTAAAATTTAGGAACAAATTTTTCAATATTATATTTTCAGTAATGCAATCAAAATAAGCATAGTTACTGTTTTCTATATGGCTAAGTACTGACTAATGGATGAAAGAAGTTTGGTGCTTCAATTATTTATGAGCTCAGAACTCAATTATTAAGTTATTTTGCCAGGTCATGCCAAGATTTATTGAAATTTCCACTCATATTGGTTTTCAAAAAATTTTTTTAGTCCTAAAATTAAATAAGTATGGAAAATCACTAAAAGCAGTGTAGCATAAGATGTGTTTAACTGGGAAGGGCGATAATAATAGGTACAGGAGGCGGGGCGCGGTGGCTCATGCCTGTAATCCCAGCACTTTGGGAGGCCGAGGTGGGCGGATCATGAGGTCAGGAGTTAGAGACCAGCCTGGCCAACATGGTGAAACCCCATCTCTACTAAAAATACAAAAATTAGCGGGGCATGGTGGCGCATGCCTATAATCCCAGCTACT